GGGTTTCCTTAACATTTTCTCTCTAAATTTAACCATTCTATTTTATCAACACTTCATGAGGAGAAATACTGCATGTATATGAAGAACTACAATCAGGTTTTGACTGTGTTTTTTTATTTTTTATTTTAAGAATCTGCTTCATGATGATAGATTCATAGGGTTTGTTTTACTGCTTATTATATGTAATTTATGATTATTTAGTTATTTCAAACTTAATAATATGATTATGGTAACATACATGAATTGGATAAGGTAATTTTTCCACATTATAGTTTTATTTTATCAATCACTCTACACATTTCTTGACAAAATTAATGATATACAGGTTGTGATTTAGCATGTGTTTTTTAATTTACATGTTTTCAACGTTTAAAATGTAAGTTAGGTTCAACAAGATTTTTTTTTTATTATCATATGGAGGAGTTGTCATGATTTGGATGGTTAACACACATTTAACTATATTAATTACTAGTTTAATAATTATAATATACATATATGATTAGAAAAAAATTACACTATTTCACCAGAAAATGTTATTTTATAAAAAAAAAAGAAAAACTATTATATAATATGCTATTGCATTTATTCATTATCTTTGTCCAGCATATTTACAGCTCATTGAGGTAAAATGCTTTTTACTTTTTATCCTTTATAGTGAAATATAATGAGTTTGTTTGTTTTAATTTGCAGCATTGGAAAAACTCTGGAAAGATACCAGAAGTGTTCTTTTACTAGTCAAAATGATAATGATAATGTTAATGAACATGAAACTCAGGTATGGTATTGTTATGATTTTTGATGAGAATGATGAGATAGTAGTAATTGATAAAATAATTTGAGTGAATTTGTAGAACTGGTACCAAGAGATGTCAAAGCTAAAGGCAAAGTATGAGTCTCTTCAAAAGGCACAAAGGTTATTTCTTGTATATAATTCTTGTCTCATTTTCAACAATCTCAAATTTGATAGCTTATGATGTACTAGTAGTAGTGGTTGCATTAATATTGTGAAGTTATTTCAGGCAACTGCTAGGGGAAGATCTTGGACCACTAAACATAAAAGAGCTACAAAACCTTGAGAAACAGCTTGAAGCAGCCTTAGCACAAGCTAGGCACAGGAAGGTAGGTACCTTCAAATTATTACAAAATCCTTTGGATTTTTCTATTATCTATTTATGTCTCATGATGCTTTAATAAATACAAAATCACATGTATGTTTCATTTGCAGACACAAATTATGGTTGAACAGATGGAAGAGCTTAGGAAAAAGGTAAAAAATTCTACCTCAACTTACATCGAATAATTCAACCGTAAGATATCAGATATCAGTTGAGCTACCTCATCCACGGAGTAAATAAAACAATTCGATTGCATGTATGTTAACCATTAGTCTTGCAGGAAATCCGCCTCGGAGACATAAATAAGCAACTTAGATTCAAGGTATTATTGCACTATGTTTAGATTTGGTCTTTTGATTTTTCAAAATTTTATTCATTAATTTGATGGAACCAAATTTTCAGCTTGAATCAGATGGATTTAATCTTAAAGCTATTGAAAGCTTGTGGAGCTCTAGTAATTCTGCTGCTACTGTTGCTGCTGGAGGAAGCAACTTTGGTTTTCAGTCTTCTGAAACCAATCACATGGATTGCCAACCTGAACCTTTCTTGCAAATAGGGTATTCCGAATCATCTCTCTTTCATATGATCATATTCATACAAAGATGTAAAATGCGGCCGTTGAAAATTTATATACGTTTGATTCAAATTAATACTATACCATAGTTTCAAACAACTCGGATACTCTTCAGCGTCTCAGGCCTCTGCAGCCAATGGCCATTTGTTAGCTGCAGAGAATAGAGACGTCTGAGAGGATCTTTAAAAGATTTCTCTAGTCAAAAACACTAATGTGGTTTACTTATTTCCTGCAGGTACCAACACTATGTTCATGCTGAACCATCAAGTGCTCCAAAGAGCATGGTTGGTGAGAATAGCTTTATCCAAGGACAAGGATGGATCCTTTGAATCCATGACTTAATAGAGTACATATCTTTATTACCTTATTTTCTATATACTTTTAGATTCCAGTTTTCTTTTTCTTCTGCCATAGACAAAATGTATCTTAATTTTATGTGTTGGAAGTTTGCAGATGCATTTTCTGTAATGGGATACAGATATAGACCTTGATTTTACTGTATGAAGCAATGGACTATTATTTGAAATTGAATGAACCATATATTAGTATGTTGGATGCTTTGTTAATATCATGGTTAATTATTGGAACATAATGCTGAGATTTAAGTGTGAGTGGTTAAGTCACACTTTGATTAAAAATGAAGAAAATGTTGAATATATAAGAGAAATGACCCATATTCTTAATGCCTTAAAATTTTGAATGAATATGTGGTGTTAAAGTCTCTTTGATCTTGCATCTTGAACGTTTAGCCCATTGACACTTCGAGCTCTTTGTTCCCCAAACTCCCTAACAAATGGTATCAAATCCATGGTTAGATTTGGTGGGGGAGCGGAAGTAGGATCCTAGTGTGGATCAAAGCTAGTAATGTGGGTAACTACACTTATGGAAAAAATTGTTGGAATTTAAGTGAGTGGTTAAGTAGAAATAGAAATGTTGGATATATTAAGAGAAACAACACATATCCCAAATGCCTTAAGCTTTTGGATGAATATGTGGTGTCAAGGTCTCTTGGATCCTGAACATTTAACCCATTGGCACATCTAACTCTTCGCTCCCTAGACTACCTAACAATTGTTGGGATTCAAGTGTGAGTGATTAAGTCCCACATCGACTAGAAATGGAGGAAATGTTGAATTTATAAGAGAAATGACACATACCTCTAATGCCTTAAGATTTTGGGTGGATATGTAGTGTCAATGCCTCTAGGATTCTAGACATTCGACCATTGACACTTTTGACTCTTCGCTCCTCGGACTCCCCAACAAGGGTATCATAGCCTGGTTAGGATCGGTGGGAGAGCATAAATGGATATTGGTGTGGATTAAGGTTAGTGATGTGGGTGACTCACTTGTGGGGGAGATTGTTGGTAATCAAGTGTGAGTGGTTAAGTCCCACACCGACTAGAAATGGAGGATATGTTGGATTTATAAGAGAAATGACCCATACCCCATAAGGTTTTAAGGTTTTGGGTGGATATGTGGTGTCAAAATCTCTTGAGTCTTGGATATTTGATCCATTGACACTTTCTGTGCGCTGCTACCCGGTCTCCCCAACACATAATTTAACTCAATGTGTCTTTCGGGTGTAACTATCAGATGCAGCCTGAGTGTGTGCGTGTGTGTGTGAGAGAGAGAGAGAGGGGGGGGGGCAAACTAAGGTAGCCCGATTTTTCTCGATTTGTGCTATGATCTTATATATCTTCAGATATGAAAAAGATATGTTCTTAGCAATATAAAGTTCATAAAATTAAAGTGTTGGGAAATTAATGAGCACAAGAAGTTATCCTAATTCCCCTTGTCAACCAAGTGTACATCTAGTCCATTCACACTTTGAAGAATTTTTTACTATGTTAGATCTTAGTACAGGTCTCACACCAAGATATCTCTTACAATCATCAAACATAAACACCAAATCTATGGTAAGATTTGAATCTTCTCGAATCAAATGACCTTTTTCACAAAACACCAAACACTATGGTGGACTTTGAATTACACCAATTCAAATAACCTTTTACAACAAACAACTTATCACCGCAAAATTAGTGATTAAGTTACAACACATTTTTTTTAATAATCTTAAGTATTTGAATTTTGAATGAATTCCAAGATGAATACTTATCTTTCATTTCAATGTTATAATTCAGTAATATATAAACCTTAAGTGCTTTGAATATATTATAAAACTTTTTTTGAATGATTTAAAGGTTATGCAGAAAGTTTCAATATTTTGAAATGAATGAACACTTAGAAAATTCATTTGAATTTTATTAAATTTTTTTTGAAAGAGGTAATTGGTAATTATGATGATTGATCCTTAAATATATGTTAAGAAACCTTTATGATCAGATATATAGGTTTGTAGATGATTAATGAAGGTTTGCAATGCATTATAATGACAATGGTTCATGGAAAAGACATAATTCTGCATTATGTACCCAGTTTCTTAAATTAGGTACATTTAAAAAGTGCATAAAGGTTTTCTAATTTCGAATAACAACAATTATGTAATCTATTTCTTAAATTAGGTAACCGATTACCTGACTTAAAAAGAGCACAGTGTTTTAAAAAAGTTCAAACATAATGAACCTCTAACCGATTATGTGATTTGTGTATCTGGTTACCACCCAATAATTTTTGAAAAATATACTTTGAAAATGCTTGAATTGATTGGTTTTGATGCATGAATGCATAGAAACTTTAGAGATGAATAAACGAGAGTTTTTGTGAGCATATAAAGTTTATACATAATGAGTTCCAATTAAGTACCTTAGCATCCTCAACCAGATGTTGCAGTGGAAGATATCTTTTTGCTTAATTCATCATCTTATAGGAGAGTTCAGGATCATAAGAGTTCTTCTATTTCTGAATCCAATTGTAAAAGTGGAGCTAGTCTTGTTCAACTGAAGAAGAAGAAGAAGAAGAAGAAGGTGAAAGTATCTAGATCGGTTGATTATATATCTAGATGTCACTCGGTCAAAGATTCTAAAGTTTTCCAGGGGAATTAGAGATTCTGGGCGGAACTGGAATCAAAGGTATCAGTGAAAATTAGGGAGATGATTTCTTCTCTTGGATTCACTGGAGGTGGTGGTGATGAAGCTTTAAAGATTCAAATCAAATTGTTGGAATTAAGAGATAAAGATGAAGCGACAAAGAAGGTGATTACATCTAATGTTGTGTAATGAATATTCTATCCATTAATTTAAAAGAGGGTGTCAGTGTGGTTAAAGAAGGAGACTTGCTCATTTGATCCAGTCAGTCAAGGTGGACATGTGTTTTGTGTAAAAATCAAAGTTAACTACTATTAACTTGGAGATGGCGTATTCTTTGTGGGGAGATCCTAATGTGGAATGGTCGGAATCTGGAGCGTGTGGGGCTTCAGGGGGTATCATCATATTGTGGAGAAAAGGTATCCTCAATATTAACTTCAGTTTTAGGGGAGTTAGGTTCGTGGACATTAATGCAGCTTGGAAGGGTCAAGACATATTTTTCGTAAATGTGTATTCCTATTGCTTGTCTGCTTTGAAGAGGAGGTACTGGGGAGATCTTGTGGCTATAAAGTCTAGGCTTAACAAAGGCAGTTGGATTGTGGGTGGAGATTTTAACGCAGTTTCGAGGAACAATGAGAGAATTGGTGCTAGCACTGGTGGTCGTAGATCTGAGATTCAAAATTTATGCAAATTCATTGAAGATTTGGACTGTATTAATGTTCCCTGTATAGGAGGGATCTTTACTTGGTTCAGTGGATATGGATCGTCTATGAGTAGACTTGATCGTATTCTCATCTTAGAAGAGCTGGTTATGAATTGGAGTATTGTCGGTCAAATTGTTGGTAAGCGAGACATCTCCGACCACTACCATATTTGGTTGAAATCTAGTAGTGTTAACTAGGGCCCGAAGTTGTTTAGGTTTAACAATGGATGGATTAAGCATCCATATTTTAAGGAGTATCTTAAGAAGGAGTGGAGCTCTTTGGTTGTTCATGGTAGAGGCGACTATGTTTTTAAAGAGAAACTGCACTTGCTTAAGTAGGGTCTGAGGAAGTAGAGTGTTGAAGTCTTTGGGTGGATTGGTTTGAAGGTGGATGATTCGGTGGAAAAGCTGAATGGTCTCGACAAGTTAATTAGTAAGTTCAGAGTTTCAGGGCAGAAGGTCAATGATCTTCTAAAAGATATTTTTTTCATAGAGCAATGAAAGGTAGGCAAATGAGTAATAACATTTCTTTTGTTGATACTTCAGATGGGAGGAATGAGGAAGTGGATGATGTTAAAACGGCTATTCGAGATCATTTTTAGCGTAATTTTTCTGAAGCCAACAGACATAGACCGATTCTTGAAGGGATGGATTTCCCTTTTCTCTCTCATTTGGATAGTATCTCCTTAGAGGCAGAATTCAGTTGTCTTTAAATTAAAGAAGCAGTATGGGATTGCAATGGGAGTAAAAGTCTGGGTCCAGACAATTTTTCTTTTGCGTTTTTGCAGGAATGTTGGGATACGATTAAGGATGATATCTTTAAGTTTGTTAAGGATTTTTTTCGAAAACCCGTCTCTCACGAAAATAGTCACAACTTATTTTCTGACATTAGTTCCTAAGGTTAAGAATCCTAAAAAACTTTCAAATTATAGACCAATATGTTTGGTTAGTTGTATGCAGAAAATTCTATCCAAATTATTGACTTACTGCATTAAGATGGTTATAAGATCTCTTATATTTGTAGAACAGTCAGCTTTCTTGGTAGAAGTATAGGGGATGGAGTATTGGTTGTAAATGAAATTTTGGACCTTGCTAAAAGGGAAAAGAGAGAATTTTGGGCTTTAAAGGTCGACTTTGAGAGAGCTTACGATTGTGTTTCGTGGGACTTTTTGAGGTTTCTTCTTTTGAAAATGAATTTTGGGGTGAAATGGTCTAGTTGGATGGAGGAGGTTCTTTTCAAAGGCTCCACTTCAACATTGATTAATGGGAGTTCTTCGAAGGATTTCGTAGTTAGTAGAGGTTTACACCAAGGAGATCCTTTATCTCCTTTCCTATTTTTGCTTGTTATGGAAGGCTTGACTATGCTTATGAAGAAGGCGGTCAAGACAGGGAATTTTAAAGGTTTCAAAGTAAAGGAGGATTTGTGTTTTAGTATTGTCCAGTTTGCTGATGATAAGATGTTCTTAGGAGATTGTTGTTGGGACAACCTTTGGAGTATTAAGGGTATTTTTCGGGTGTTCGAATTAGTTTTAGGATTGAAGGTCAATTTTCATAAGGGCAGTTTGTGTGGAGTTAATATTCCTCAAGGTTTTACAGAAGTTGCAGTGGATTTTCTTAGTTGCAATGTTGGTAAGATTCCTTTTATTTTCATGGGTATAGTTGTTGGAGATAGTGTAACACTATTTTCTACCCCACGAATATTATGGCAAAATAATAGAATTTATCAGAGTAAAATTTTAAACACCATAAAAATCACCTCAAAGGGCGTACATTTCTCAATAGATTCCAATCAAGGTCAATGCTCTGTAAGCAACGAGTTTTCTCAAAAGTGCTCAAATGGCAGCGAAACTCAAAAAGGCAAAAATCCCAAGTTTTCCTTTTACCGCAAGGAAATCAACATAACAAAAACTCAATAAAATAGTTTGAATAAAATACCCCAACCCGATGTTACACTATCAGAGCAAGACCCTCTAAGTCAACCACAATGGCCAATGACCCAAAAACTTCAAAAGTCCTCGACGGCATCCACGGCTAAACTTGGTCATCTGCATGTTACCCACGTGGAGGCAACATTCAAACAGGCAGGGTGAGTAAAACGATTAATAATAATCAATATAAGAATCAATATATAAAATGGTGTCATTTTCATATTCAACATTATCATAATCATCAAGGAATATCAAAGGCCACATTATAAATTACACCAATTGTTACATAAATGCAAATGCAATAAGACTCATGCATGTGGTACCAATCATCACAACTCGATGGACACTAAGCCATCAACCCTCCATAGATCCCCATCAATAGGATCAATTCTATACAAGAACCAAAGAACATCAAAATACGTCACATCCGCATAATGGGACTGAAGCCAAAGAAATCAAGGTCCTGAATTGAAATCCGGATGCACATACGTCAATAATCATCCTCATAATAAATCATAGGTGCATCATCATTCATCAAAATCATCATCATAAATCATATCATCATAGAATCATCAAAAACTCATGGAGATATCATCATAGCTCATCATCATTACTCATAGGAATCATCATTATACAATCATGTATTAATCTCATCGGAATCATAGTTATACTCATGGTAATTCATCATGCAATCACATATTTAATCTCATAAAAATATTAGAAATTCAATTATCTTATTTATACTATGTTATAGCCCTGTTCATTAGATTTCCAACACTTCAAACAGGGGACAAAACGGACTTACGAATCAAAAGTTACGTCCAAAACGATTTCGACCGGAAACATGAACAGTCGTGACGGACAACATGCAGAATTTTCTGCGTTTTTCACCGTTGGAGGCCTTCCGGACCTCCGATTTCGATTCTGTAAAAACCCAAACTCTAAGAAAATTACAACCCATTCAACACTGTAACTATCTCAAATAAATTTACAATTTTAACACAATTAAACCATCTAATCATTGTTTTAAGATTATGCCTAAAACCTTTAAAATTAAGGGATATATGTTTAATCTCGTATTATATTTACGCCTCTAATTCCCATAACTTCTTACGAATACCCCAAATTCATTAGAGTTATCACAAATCACTTATCCTACAGGGTTAAACAATCTCAACAACAAATTTTGGCCACGAAGGCCTAATTTCCTTTACTCTCAAATCAACCTCAAACCTATCAGACCATCAGTTCAAATCCTTATACGGTTAAAACCTCAATAATAGATTTTGGCCATGAAGGCCTACTTTCCCTCAAACCCAACCATCCGTTCAAATTCCTATACGGTTAAAACCTCAATAATAGATTTTGGCCATGAAGGCCTAATTTCCTTTATCTCTAATCAGCCTTAAACCCTTTAAACCCTTAAATCAGCTTTAAATACATTGAATCACATATTGAAAATAATGAAGGCAATACTCCTCATACCTTAATTGCTGACTCTAAGCCTTTCTCTTTGATTCTTGAAAACCATGTGAAGCTTTTGCCTCAATCCTCTTTCTCAGAGCTCTGTCATCTATTTCTTCCCTTTTTAAAGTCTAACAGAAATAAATCCTAATTCCCTCAAAATTCCTTTTTGTTAAACCTAACTTTTGACCTTAAAATTGGACTTTCCAACTTCACCCTCACTAACTTCTCCTCAAATGTCCATTTCCCCTTAATTCCCTTATATTTATTTAAATTAATAATAATACCAATATATTCATATTATATACTATTATTTAAATAAATAACCCAAAACTCCATAATTCTCATTTTTTCATACCAACCACCGAAAATCACCAAAAATACGAATATTCATATTTAAATAAATATTCCAATAAATTTGGAGTGTTACAACTCTCCCCCACTAAAAAAAAAATTCGCCCTCGAAAATTACCTTAAAAAAACAAAGTCGGATACGAAAGGGTAGTGAGCGGTCCTTTCCCTCTTAGGTTTTGTGCATTTTTCTCCTTCTTGCTTGATTTTCGTATTTGGATAATTATTTTGTGATTGTTTTTGTTAAATAGTGGTTGTGTAATGAGTGTATGTGTGAATATGTGTTGCATGTTATTTTCGAATAACAAATTCATGCAAATTGTATTTGTTGTTGTTGAGTTCTGATGTAGAAAATTTTGAATTTTTGGGTTTTACGGGGTTAACGAAAAATAGGTTTCCATCACATAAAATGTTGATAAAAATGATGGAACAATGTGGTAGAGTTAGGACCTTGGCATTTAACTGAAATAAAGATGATTTTGAATCTAAGAGGAGCTTGAAAGTTCTCCAATGGAGGAAATTTTGCACTGATGCGAAATCTGGAATTTTGGTATGCTCACTGCCCATACGTGTATGGGCGAGGCCATATGCGTATGAGGAGACACTCCCAAAGGCATACGCGCCCTGTCCCGTGGCCAACATGACCCCCTGCCCATACGTGCAGGGTACGCGTAAGAGATGCCAGACAATACATGTATTGGTAAGGCCATACACGTACAGGGAGACTGAAGGGGTTTTGAGAAAGGGAATGACCTTTGGTCATATGCGTACGACATCAAGAAATACGCGTATGACATGGGTAGCTGGGAGGCCATACGCGTAGGGTACGCTGGCCTGGGGCGAGCGAGTAGGGTCATACGCGTATGCACAGGGGAAATACGCGTATGGGCAGCGTGTGTGCATAATTTTTCTATTTTTGCAATTTGCGTCCCGATTTTGCATGTAATGCAATTTCCCTCGATCTGTAAGACTAAGATGGTATAATTGGACATTAGAGAAACTAGTAATAACATTAAGTAGGATAAAATGTGGGTTTTTATGAGAATGTCTAGTCGAGACGTGTTAGGTGTGTAAGCCAAGATTGTCGTGTATGGACGGTCTTGTGTGGTGGTGGTAATTCTAGAGAGAATTACAGTGAGCATGTGGCTCGTGTGTGATCATTGAGGGTTTTGAATTATGCTTGAATAATTATTACATTGTGCATAATTTTGTGTCATGCATTCATGCCTTTTTATGTGAAGATGAGCTAGGTGGGAATCCATGATGGGTGTCTAGTCTCGTCCGGACTCTATGTAGGAGTCGAGTGAAGTTAAATTGTAGTTCAGAGGAACATATACGACTTATCGGGATTCCGACAGGAATCATGTTCTAGGGTAAACCGTATGTAATTGTGATGGTACTACATGCATTGGGTCGTGTCAGTTGAGTCGCATTGTGTAACACCCCGTTTCCAAA